CCTTGGAAATTACAATGCACAGAATTATATTACTGTCCAAGATACGAAGTGAAACTAACATAAGAGACAACTGAGATAAGAGTTTCCCAGACTGGAATTTGTGGCATTTAGGGACTGCAATAGATATGTGATGGCAGACCAAGAATGTTATTGCTCCTAATTGTCCCTCTTTTTATGTGACTATGTATCTGATTCTGGCTTTTCAGTTATTTTAGTACATCAGGCTGTAAATTTTTTAGCAAGACAGTCCCAATCCTCTTCTCTCACCTGCCCCCACAAAAGCATGCTGCTTTCTTGTAAGTAGTGGTTGAGGTAGGCGTGGCTGTATTTCAGTCTAATTTTATCATTAGCTATTAGTGTCTAGGTATTGACAATGCCCTGACCATTAATTCTTCCGGCACTTTGCATTGGGTACTGTACATTAGCTTAAGCAAATGACAGTCATTCTTTTAGAGTTCACAGATTATTTTTTTGGTCTCGTCTAAGGATAAGTGATGCTAAAAAGTAATATAAGCTTTCAAATGGAAACCATTCTCAGAACGCAGCCCTAGAAATTGAGCTTGCAGTTACTTAAATTTTTATCAGTTCAGAATATTTCTTACACTGAACAAAATTCAGAAACAAATGTACTTTAGTGCCCCTTTCCTCTGTGGGCTTCTGATGGTAGGCCTTCCAGTCTCTTCTTACCTTATTTGCTGTTTTGATGTCCAGTTTGTATCGACGACTGAATTGCCAATAAGCTGAAACTCTAATGATCGAAGACATTTAATTGCCTGGCATCTGATCTTTGTGTCTTTTGAATTCTCATTGTCTTTTGTGGATAGTGTCCACTTTCAAATATCAATAAATAAGCCCATAATCATTAACCTCTATTTTTGGAGGCAAGAGAGATTTCTGGAGACTAATCCATTGGGAGTTTGGTGTTAGCCTGTAAAACTCTTCCTTGCAATTGAAAACTAGATATGGTGGATTTGACATCAGTGCTTAGGTTTCAGGTTTAAAAGTAGCAGTATTTCCATGGGTTCCACTTGTGCTGAGTGGAGTCAGCTGCCGTCCACAGTGGACACCAGTCCTATCCTGTATTTTTGGATAGCTGTCATCTGCCGGATGTGATCCCAAATTTCTGCTGGTTTTAGGCTGGTTGAATGCGGTGCTTCATTGAGTCTAAATGCAGCAAATCAGGTCTCCCCAGGCTGATTGTCATTTCCTATCTTGTTTTCTCTGGGTTCTTGTGGAAGTTGTGGTTCTCAAGTCACTTGCTGCCTCTTTCATTCCACATGTATTCCTTTCTCAACATAAGTTTACAAAATGAAGCCTTCAGGCTGCTTTTGTAGCATTTGCTAAGGGGACTGAGTGAAACTCCTTGGGAAGTTGTATCTGAGCAAAAAGCTGCAAGTTGGTAAAGGCTTGGAGACAGTCTTGTATGGCTCAGGTGAAATTTCATCAGTGTTTAGAAAGAGGATGTTATGCTGCTTAGTTCAACTGGACCTGAAAAAAGTTGCTACTTGAAGTTTGTGCAAATCTTAAGATTTATTTGTTCAGTTTCAAATTTGGCTGACACTTGGTACATACATGAACAGATTACAAGCTTCTGCTACTTTTGCAATGGCATAATCCAACATATAAATGATTGCATCAAGGAAAGTGCTTTGGTGGTGTGTACTCGTGTGCTCTGTACTGACAGGCAATTTACTTGTGGTCTTTGCTTATTTTGAGATGTGAACATATTTTATCAAACAATTCTAGATAATTCTAGATAATAAAGGTCAAAATACTGCTTTTCAGTATTTGATGTTACATTAACCCTCTTTTTAAGAATGTGATGGAAAACTTTGAAAGAAGCTCTACATCCTCAATGTCTTCAGTGTTCACTCCACCTACAAAATCTGTCAGCACACCAGTACAACCTGCAAATAATACTACAAGAATTTCTACAATGAGACCTCTTGCAACAGCATATAAAGCTTCCACTAGTGACTATCAGGTATTTTAAGGGAAACAGAAAGCTGTATTTCTTTGTGCTATCTCCCCTTCATTGTATGAGGCTATACACATGTTAACTTCAATGTGACCTTGGCCTTTATCTTCTCCTGTCACATCTTTAAAAATGTAGTTCAAGTGCAAACTCAGTCTGATCAGTCTCTAAAATAATAATAAAAAATAAATTACTTACCACTTTTCCAGAGGTTAAGTGCTTGTTTTGAAAGTCTTTCAAACATTTTTTTCAAAATATAGCAGCACTTAGGAAAAGAAAAGAAAAAGAAACTGCTTACTATAAAAAGAATTAACTATATGTTGACTCATTCTCTTTATTGTCTCTCTTTCTCTTTCACCCCCTGCCTTCTAGGTGGTTTCTGACAGACAAACTCCTAGGAAAGATGAAAGTATTGTATCTAAAGCAATGGAATATGTTTTCGGCTGGTAATACACAAGAGGAAGTAACACACTAAGTAGGTCAGGGTTTAAAGTATGCTACTGGCATCCGTGGTTAGTTGTATAACTGCTGGTGGCAGTATTTTAACTTGCATCTCACCTGTTATGCCTTCAGTTAATTCAGCAGACATGTAGCTTGCACTTTAAATGATGGCAGTGTACACACGGTTTTAAAAACTGAGTAAGTGTAAATATAAGTGCTTTTTTCCCCATTTGTGCTCTGATTGCATGATTGTAGAAAAAATATCAGCACTGACTTTTCCTCTGTAATTACTTTCTGTGAATTACTTCCCATGTTTAAAATGGCAGCTTTATTTACTGATGCCTCTAATTTTCTTGGGGTTTTTTTCCTGGAAAGATGATGGGCTACTTGCAGGAAGAACGCTATGCACAGCTGGCTCCCAGGGACAGGGACTGTTCTTAGTATATGTGATTTTAGTTTTTTTAATCTCTGGCATCATGTTCTGAATGTCATAGCAACCTTTTAACTCTTTGTTTTATTAATAAAGCTAAATAAAGTTATTTTTTTTCTTAGGTTGTTTTTTAAACAAGTATGAGTTTTGTTAGGAAAAGTTATTGCAGTGCTCTTAACTGTTAAACATTAGGCAGCATCATACTTATTAAAGTGTTATCGGCAGAGCAGACACTGCTGCTTTTTACTGCAGTACCAACCAGAATTAAAACTAGCTAATATTTAAGTCATCTCCATGGATATTTTATAGCGGTGTGCACTTAACAGGTAACGAATGAACTGTAGCATTCTAAGCTATAAAACATTGAGTTGAAATAGCTGAATGGAAAAATGTGTCAGTAACCAGAGCTGGCTTCATTTCAAGACTTCTAAAAGATGTTCTCTAAGGTATTGGCTGAATGATGATTTTTATTTTGGTTTGGTTTGGGTTTTTTTGAAAATTGAACTTTCCTCCCTCTTGAAGTTTTCTTTTGGAGGTGAGCCTCTGAAGTAATCATGTGTGTTATGTAAGGTCATAGTCTTCAAGGTAGAGGACTCTCTTTTGGGAAGTGAGCAATTTTTTTTTCTCCAGTATGTGGGAAACTACATGCAACTATTACTTTTTTGACTTTGTGTCTGTTAGTGTGGGTCAACATCAGCATTTTAGTTTGCATCGGTAGTGTGTTGGTCAGATGAATATCCAGTCGTACCCATTTCCACGCTTTGCATCACACTTCAGCGTGGTCTCAAAGTTCTTCAGCTGCACTTCCCTGATGAAATTAGATTGAAAGGTCAGTCCAGGAGCATGCCTAATGTCCCTCAAATGCGATTTACAGGATTAAGCTAGAGATAGTCCTGAGTAAAATCCCCCAAAGCACTTAGTGAGAAGTCCAGTTTCTACCTCAGGGCACTTCGTCCTTCATTGAGTGCTTTAGAAGTAACATATGTGCACACAGGTTCAGACAGTTTTGAGATGTGGTTTTACTGTATTTGCTGACTGATGCTTTTGGAGCATTGGTTGCTACTTATCCATTTTGCTTTTTGATCGAAGGGAACTGCTCAAACCTCATTAATACCCGAACGTGTTTTCACAGAATACATCTGGCTTTTTCTTGGTGAAAAAAATAATTATCATGCTGACTTCAGAAAGAAAACAGGTAGTTCAGCTAAATTCTTGTTTTGCTAGTTGCTTTTCAAAATACACTTCTGGTGCACTTCAGACTTGTAGTGATGTGTATAGGATTGAGTTTAGTGAAGTGATGAAGAATAAGGTTGAACTTGGATCAAGTCTGAAGCTAAATATATAAGGAGGAAGTTGGAGCCAAAGTCAGTAGTTTGGCAGGCCTGTTTTGGGAGACCAAAAAGTACCAGGTGTAAAACTGTGTTAAGTTGTGGGTCGTCCCCACTCCGGGTTGTTTACCTTACTCTCTTGTTTCTCGTAGCTTTAGGAATGATTTTACTAATAGGTCATTGCAGCATCCTGTAGAGTAAAAGCACTTGGGGGTAGTGGATGTTGTTTACTTTGCTCTGGAGGTAGTAAATAGGAGGAGAAGAAAGTTTAGATTATATAAATTTATGTACTTCTGGACGGTGTCATTAAGAAATTATCTTCATATGGCTTTGGCTGATAAAGACTGCTGGTAAGACTCTTTGTGTTGAACACTAGTTAAACCCTGGTATCAATGATTTGGGCTTACGAAGTATGAGAGCGTTACAGTCCCTCACTGCACAGCTTTGTTGCAATGTTCCTGATATCATTATTAATTATATGAATGTACAGGGACCACGTGTGAAAGGCCAGAGGGTATTGAGAAGGACACGCATGAAGAATCTCTGAAACACTTGGTCTTCAAGTAAACCTTTTCAAGGCTAACTACTGTTGTTAGGTAGCAGTGCATTTAAAAATCCAGTTCTTCCTGTTTAACTATGTGCCTGCTGCTTTGCAATAAGGAAGGATTCTCATCTAGCTATAGCTAGATGTGATTTACATTAAAACCAAAGTTATGAACTGCAGCTAGTGATGTGTAACATAGTCATACACCTCAGTTCTAGTTTCAGTTGTATGGGGTTTCTTGTAAGACTACGGACTACATTTTTAATGGGATTCTGGCTTTAGTTTAGAATAAAACTCATGAATACTTATTTTCTGTCATCTGCCTCCATCACAAGCATGTTACTTGGGGATCTAATTCACTCCTTTTAGTATATATACCTGCAGAGTTTTAAATTCTAGAAGGATTTGTTGTATTGTTTCAATGGTAATTTCACTACAATCTTAAGAGATTTTTTTTAAAAAAGACTTTTTTATAACTTGGAGTTAGTGTTTATTTTTGTCCTCCTTTTTCCCTCCTACCCCTCCTTAGTTTAGCTTTCTAGTAACTTTCAAAGTGAGTGATACTTATTTGGGTAATCCATGTACACTAACATAAAATGAAGATCAAATGTTGAGTGCATCATGTCTGCCTCTCATTTCAAGTTGTAGGCATCTACCTCCACTGTGTGGCAGCTCTTCAGAACTTTAATGAGAGGTTTAACAGATACTGAATGGAATGTGGTATTTTAATTACACTTTAGTTAGGAAGTGCGTAAACAGTACTGTGAGAAAATAGCAGTGCTCAAATTTCTCATAGTTGAAGTGTTTTCATACTGAAAGGACAAAGATGAGTCTACTAAATATCTTAATTCAGGAGTAATTCAGACTTCTAAATATTGCTTCAATGAAATAGTTCTTAAACCTTATTTAAAATCTTACCAGTATTCACTCACCTCCATTTTGAGATGGATAAATAGACCAAATGATATTTTAGCAGGATTTACCCCAATATCCATTTTGTATGAACATAATTGCCTTTTCTCCTGATAGTCAGGGTATGTTTAAAAATAAGTCATGCATCAGGTTTTTTTTTTAGTTTTACTGTAGATGACCAGACCACAGATGAGTCTGCGAAAATCTACTGCTTAAATAGGTTTAGAAGTAATAGGCTGCTCAGTTGGTGAGTGCAAACAAAACAAACTGGCTTACAGACAACTTGGAATCAGGTGTTGGTTTACTGCATTTCAGACTGCAGGTGAGAAGGCCCTGGAATAAGCATTCTAGATCTCTAGGAAAAACATCAGTCCTTGGTCGACTTTATGGCTCTGTGGTAATACCTTGTGTTCTTTTGATGCGAGGCGTCTCTCAGTAAGCATCAGAGTGCGAACAGTACTGATGGTCAAACTTCTGTTAGTGTTTCTAAGTTAGAGTTCAGATGAAGTTACCTTTAAAAATTAATGCAAAAGTAGTAATTTTGTAAAATGGTTTTGGCCTTCTCTTAAGGAATCCTTTGGCTCAAGTATGTTTTTGTGTAATGCATATAAACTGAGCTTCTGTCAATGAAGTCATATTCTCTACTTTTCTGCAAGTAAAACTCATGTTGAAATAAAGAGCATGTCTGAGAAGCTGTAAATTCTTATGACCTATATAATGTCAAATATCTTGATTCTTCTTCAGGTTCTTCAGTTTTGTAAGTGAACTTTCAGCTTAAATAAAGAGTTATGCTGATGTAAGCGGATCCTTTTGTGCGTGAAGTTGGAGATGCTTTTCTGAGTAGAAACAGCATGAAAGTAAAGAATTGCTCTGAACAGTCATTGTTTATTTTGTTCAATTGTTTGTTACATGAAATTTAGGTATAGTTTACTGTAGAAATCAGTTTATGAATGTATCTTCTGTTGTAGGGATGAATTGAATTTTCAGTATGAAAAATAGCTTTTCAATTATTTTTTTTCCTGTTTCTGTTGTGTATGTCAGCCACATAATTAGAATCTTATTTAGCTGCCTTTGGTGCCCTATGGTATTCTGTGAGAATCTGTCCCTTGTTGCAGAATTAAGTTCCAAAAAATGCTGTTTTCTTTTTCAAGGATGCTTTCAATCCCTTGGTGTTAAGAAGGTAACTTTGAATACATGAAACAAGGATAACCTGACAAATGGATGTCTGGAGAATCTTGGAAATCATCGTTCTGTAGCGGGGATTATCCAGTTATTAGTAGTAGACTATTTGTTTTGAAACCTCAAGATAGTCCAAAATTGGTTGTCAGATAGAGTGCTGTAGCTGAGTATTTTAGTTAAAACAGAGTTGCAACTGGGGGAGTTGCTTTTTTGAGTGCTAGTTTGCTAACGGCGGGTTGATCTTTTGCCAAAACTCCCGTTTCCTTCTGGCCACTAAATGTATGGCTGACTTGAGAGAATCGTGGTTACAACAGTTGCTATCATGACATGTTTATCTCTAACATACATTATTAATTCAACTAGTGACAGTTTCCAGTCTCCTGCTCAAAAATGCTCAGCAATCCAGATTGCAACAGAAGCCAGACCTTGCTTCCATAAAGTCATAAAACTGTAATGAATCTTCCTCTTTGCAACTGACTTCTCTTGCACAACGTGCTTTCTCAGCTGGCAAGTACTTTGGCTTACTGGGCTTTCTCACTGAGTGCTCTTAGCTCTCTTTAAAAAGTTTGCAGTGTACGACTGCACCCGTGGATAAGATCATGCTGCTGATTTCAGAGAAATTGAGTGAAGGCCTGCAGTATTTTCCAAGCATGCAACATGATAGCTTGTAGTATCACATTTCAATAGATGAAATACAGTTAAAGTTGTCCATCATAGGGTATTATAATGGGCTATTGATATTTAGGTGCCACAGTTTCTCTTTATTTGTAATTGAATTGTGCTGATGAACATATGAAAATGTTCATTTGCAGATTGAAGGTCATAAAGTAAAA